CGGGCGGCGCGCTCGGCGGCGAGGGCGCGGCGGCGCTGGTGCTGCGGGGCCTGGCGCGGCCGTTCAGCGAGCGCGAGCTGCGGGAGCTGCTCTCCAAGACGGCGGACGTGACGGCCCTGTGGTTCCCCAAGCTCAAGACGCACGCCTACGTCATCGTGACATCATCGGCGCAGGTTGACGCGACGGCCAAGGCGCTGCAGGGCAGCAGCTGGCCGCAGGGCAACAAGAAGAAGCTCACCGTCAGCGGCGTGGCGCTGGAGCAGGCGCACTGGGCGATCTCCAATCAGAAGGACCCCGCGGAGGAGGCGGCCGCCAAGGCCGCGCTTGCACGCGCCGCCAGCGGCAGCCTCGGCGGGGCCGCGCCGAGGCCGCTGGCGCGGGGCGGCAGCGCGACCGGCAGCGGGGCGCTCGCGGCGGCGGCGGCGGCGATGGGCGCTGCGCAGCCGCAGCCGCAGCCGCAGCCGCAGGCCGGGGCTGCGGCGGGGGCTGGGGGGGCGGCGCCTGCGCTGCCGCCCCACATGGCGCGGCTGGCGCAGCGGACCCTGAAGGACCTCGCGGCGCAGGGCCCCGCCAAGGGCCCCGGCGCCGCCCCGGCCGACGGCGCCGCCGCCCGCGCCGCCGCGGCCGCGGCAGGGCAGCGGCGCACGGCAGCTGCCACCGACGGGGCGGAAGACGCAGGGGCGGCGGGCGAGCCGGAGGCCCCGGCGGCGGCCCAGGCGGAGGCAGAGGTGCAGGCGGCTGAGGAGGAGCCCTTCCTACTGGACAACATTTTTAAATATACAGAGGAAGCCAAGCCGAAGCTGTACTGGCTGCCGGTCGGCGAGGAGGTGGTGGCGCGGCGGCGGCAGCAGAGGCACGAGCGCGAGGTGGCGGCGGCGGCGCGCGTAGCTGGGGCGGGTGGCAGCAATGGCGGCGGCGCCGGTGGCGGCAAAGTGTCGGAGCCTGGGGGCGAGATGGTGCAGGAGGGGCTGATCAAGGGGCACACAAACCGCACGCGCTGAGGGCCGACCAGTGTTTGATGCCTTGGGAGCTCCGTGCTTGGGGCAGGGGTTCTGGGTGGGGGGCTTGGGGCTGTGGGGCGATGGCGCGCTGGAGTGCATGTGCATGTGACGTGTCAAGTGTGTTGCGCCGTGATGCGTGTCTTGAGTTTACGGATGTGCGTCCGTGTGCACGCACAAAGACGCACATCCGTAACACTGCACGGCCTTGACGCCGAGCTGGCCCCTTCGGCTGTTTCAACCCAACATGCAAGCGATGCATTAGCTGCCCTCCCCCTCATGCCCGCTCCCTTTGCTGCTGCTCCCTGTCACATGCACGTTGGTGTACCCGCCTTCAGCGCAAGGGCTGCCCCGTGTGCATAATATGGCGCCCCCACACCCTGCAGCGGGCACAGCCCGGCAAGCCTCAGCAGAAGAGCACCAAAGGGCAGCGCTGCTCGTGCGGACGCATTGCCGCGGGCCCCAGGGGCTGGGCCTCCCCCTCAGGCGTGGGAGTGGGTCTTGTGCCGCCTGCCCGCGGCGTTGGCTGCGGATGGAGCACCCTCGGGCCTGGGCACTGCAAATCCACTTGTACCCAACGCTGCAAGCCCAAGGCGATGGATGTTTTATGGTTCTGGTTGGGTGGGCGGGGGAGGGGGGGCTGCGGAGGGAAGGAGAGGCAGTGTAGCATGTCAGACTGACTGGTCAGGCTTACAGGGACTGCTGGAAGGGGGCGAGAGGGGGGGAAGCTTGGGAGGAAGAGCAGCTTGGGCTGACCGCCATGTAGTTAAGTACCGTGATAGAGGAGGGGAAGCAGCAGCAAACCTTAAGTTTGGCAGCTGAATCCCCATGTTTTCATCCCCGTTACTGGTTGCGTAGCATCAGCATGACAGGTCAAAGGCCAGCCTTACGAGCTGAAATGCGTCAACCGGACCGTGCCAAGCGAAAAGCATTTATCCTTCAGCTGCGGTACACCTGCCCCCTGAAATCCTGCTGCTGCTGAGCCTACTCAACCTTCCATCAGAGACAGTTGTAGATGCACATGATTCAGTATCAGCGGCAGGTATTGCAGAAAACCGCCAGTTTTGTATTTAGACATCCACAAGGCCCAACCACCCCCAGGCGGGCAGCTGCAATTAGGAAATGGTCGCAGGAAAGCGCAGCGAGTTCCTGAGTAATGCACGTGAGCTTCAAACACTGCAAGCGCTCGTCTATAAGTAAGCAGCATTCAACCCGGTAATGTTCCTGCATGCCTCTACATGCTGACCAAAGCACACGCGATTTCAGCATGTTTCAAAGTGTCATATCCCAAGCTTCATGCCCAAATCACTGATGACATGGTGGCCGTTATGGTGCGCGGCCCCCGCCTGGGGCGGCTGCTGGTGGTCAAGGTGCCCCGGCTGACCAGGCTGGGGCGGCCCCTGCTGGTGCTGCTGATGCTGCTGATGCTGCTGGTGCTGCTGGTGCTGCTGGTGCTGCTGCTGATGCGTGATGTCCTCATGCACCTGGCCCTTGCCATGGCCATGCCCGTGGCCGTGGTGGTCCTGATAGTGGTCGTGGTGCCCCCTGTGGTCCCAGCCAGCATGGTTAGGCGGCTGCGGCACAGGGGCCGGCACGGGTGCCGATGCGTGGCCGGAGTGCTGCTGCTGCTGCTGCTGCTGCTGCTGCTGCTGGTGGTTCTGCTGCTGATGAGGGACGTGCTGCTGCTGCTGGTGGTGTTGGCCGTGGAGGTGGGGCGGCTGATGCTGGCCGGTCGCCTGGTCGTGGGGTGCGCCCTGGTGGTGGCCGGCGTGCTCCCGCAGCTGCTGGTAGTGGTGCTCGTACTGGTTGGGCGCGTGCTCCACATGCTTGGGCCTGTGGAACTCGTGGTGCGCGTGCGGCTTGGCGTCCTTCACGTGGGTCAGCTCGTCCTCCAGCCTGCAGGAGAGAAAGACGCGGAAGGCGGAGGGGCAGCGGCGGTCGGCTTGCCAACCAGCGAGCACGGGTCCCTGCTGTGGCCGCTCCGCGCCGTCCGCAGGCTGGCCCACGCGCGACGGTTCAGCCCCGCTCAAAGGCCCCGCGGCCACCACCCCGTCCTCCATCCACCCGTGGGGATCCACTTCGTCCCTTGGAGCGCCTCAGATGCGCAGATGGACCCGCGCGAGCGCCCCCCCGGTCTCACTTGCTGATCTCCTCGTCCAGCTGGTCTGACAGCGCCTCCCACTGCTGCTGCAGCAGCTCCCACGCCTCCTCGCGCACGTTTGACTCGTCATTGGCCTTGTCCAGCTCGCCCTCCAGAGTGTGGATCCTGGGGGGTTAGCAGTACACGCAATGAGATTCGGTGATGCATCGTGAGCAAGCATGTTGCAAGTACGTGCACAACACTGCGCTTTGCTCCACTGCCGGTGCGCATGATAGCGCACGCGTGCTCGTGCGAGACCTGACGTTGAGAGGCAGACAGACCCGACCCACAACGCCGCGCGATGACGCCAGGGCATGGGCGCTGCGGCGGCCCGGCGGGCCCCATGGTCGCTCACCTGTCCTCGGACTTTCTCAGCAGCCCCTGTGTCGCGTCGATGTGGAGCTTCACGGAATCAATCTGGCCGCGCAGCGTGTCCGCCTGCGGGAGGGCGGGCCAGGGTGGCGGCGGCACGCGACAGGAGGGGGCCGTCCGTCGAAGCCGGCTTGAGGGGCTGTGAAACACGCAGCCTGCCGGCGCGGGCACTCGCGGCGCGGCGCGACCGGGGCTGCGTCGCGGGGCGGGGCGAGGGGCGGTGTGGAGGACGCGGCTGCGCAGGGGGTCGGCGCCGGCGGCCCGCACCTGCGCCTCCTCTGCCCGCAGGTCCTGCTGCAGCTGCCAGTTGCCGCCTGCGTGGCTGCCGTAGCGCCGCTCAGAGTCCAGCTGCGCCTCTGCATGGTGGCGCGCGTTCTAGGGGCGGGAGGATGGGGGCCGCGAGGGGCGGATTGAGAGTCGCGCAGCAGCGTGAGCCGCAGCCGCTTGCACGAGGCCCTAGCTGGAGGTGATGCCCATGCACTGGGACTGCAGTGCCCCCCGCGGCGCTGTGCGGTGTCGCTGCCCACGCCTGCTACATGGCGCGTACTCATGGGCTATAGCGGCTGCAAAACGAAGTTCAGAGCAGTTCCACATGTCTGCAGTGCTGCAGTGCGGCCCCCTCCCTCATGGCCGGCCCATCCAGCGTGCACGACCGCCACGTGAGGCCCCCAGTGCCGCGCACCTTGTCTTGCGTTAAATCATGGTCCAGGTGTGAAACGTGGAGCTCCAGAGCCGCAATCTCCCCACGCGTGCGCTGCAGCGCCCACAGCAGCGCCCCCCCGGTGATCAACAGCGCCAATGCAACACCCGCGACCGCACTGCGCGCTGCGGGGGCGACGCCGCCCCCCGTGCTGCGGCGAGCCTTGCCGCCGTACGAGCTGCTGTAGCTGTATTGGCCGTTGGAGCCGCCATATGATGGCAAGGACCGCGCATAGGGGTCGGATGCAAACATGGTGCAGCAGCGGCGTGCGCTACCCGCTGCGAGGCAGCGAGACGGCTGGGTGACACAGCACACAAGCTGGTGCCTCGCAGTGACAAGTGCGCAAACGCGATGCCTCAATCGTTAGAAGAGGCTGCGACCCCTTGTGAGCATGGAAATGACGCCTGGTGCAGGCCTACAGTGGTCTGTGGTCCGCAAATGTGTGTGCGGCAGCTGACAGCACTGCATAGAATGTCACTATAAGCAAAGACCGATGGTCCGCATACGTCTGAGCAGGTAGCTGGGAGGGCTTCCGACGTTCTGGAACCTCGCCGTCTGTAGGAACCGGTTCGCCAATGGGAGCAAAATCACAGCTTCGTGAGGGGATGAACAAACCCGAATTTATTCTCTTGCATGCCACCAGAGACTGCAAGCCGCTGCCTCCATCCCCGGTGGCCCGTGATTCCAGGTCCGGGTGACAATCGACCCAACTTTCAAAATCACAGGTGCATGCCCTGCACTGCCCAGCACCCATGCCAGCAGAGTTGCCGATTGGATGCGAAGAGTTTTTAGGGCAACACGGGCTGTGCAGGCACAGCAGTGTAGCTCCAGTTGGTGGGCACAGCAAAGGGCTCGGCACTCCCCCCCCCCCCCCCCCCCCCCCC